CACAACCCCCCTAGCACCCCAGACGCGGCGGGGGGGGGAAAGGGATGTGAGAAGTAGTCACTACAAATAGGAGTGGCGTGGCCGAGGTTGAGAAACACTGCCCTCCTTCCATGAGGAAGCCATTCACAAATAGCTTAGTCTCTTTTCATCCTGAAGCACAAGGGTGCTGAATGCTCCTCACACAACTGGCAGAATGCAGTAGTGGAAACCAGTGCACACAGAAGTGCTCAGTACCTGCTGTAAACACCATGATTGTGCATTTGTAATAAGGAGTGGCAGGTGGAGGTAGGGGAAGCATTCTGAGGTCTGGATGTGTTCTGCACTCTTGCAATACGCATCACATAAAGAACAGGTATTCTCAGCAAAGCAGTTTCTGGCCTTCTTTTATTTCTGTGGAGCACAACTTTGCCACTGACACCTTTTGAAGGCCAGGGTCAGGCTGTCAAATGGTGTCTGTGGGTATCAAGGCTCACTCAACATTCCTTACCTGATGGGATTCCTTAGGATCCCAAATAATGATAATAGTAATAGTAGTCTAGTAGTAATAATGATGGCTGAAATCTCATCACCAAATCTGATGAGAAGTGGAGCTTCTCAGATGAAGAAAGCTCAAATCTTGCATGATTTGGTGATTTCTCCACCAATTAGCCATTTAATATCAGGCATTTTTTATTTTGGTGTCCACGTTGGTGGCTACTTACATTACACCTTTGGACCACCAGAGGTCATCAGTCAACAAACCTTGCCTTAGAAGAACGCTTGGGAAACCTTGCCTTAGAAGAACGCGTTAAATCAGAAAAAAATAATGTTTTTTTTTTTCATTTTAAACTTTGTGTGTTTTTTATGTTTTCAGGTGGGCTGTTCAGATGGGAGCATTAGACTCCACCAAATGGCGTCTGAGCTTCCACTTATGCAGTGGAACAACAGCACAGCGGGGCAGCCGGTAGTCGCCCTCCAGTGGGCTCTAACCAGGCCAGCTGTGTTTTTTGTTTTGGATGCCACATCTGTAGTTTATATTTGGGATCTCTTGGAAAATGATTTGTCACCTGTAGCCAAACAGCCGATCTGGTCTGATAAGTAAGTTTACAGGATGCTTTTGGTTTGCAATCTTACAAATCTGGTAGAAGTGAAAACAGCTGGCTTGTTGGACTTTAATCTTCATAGATACCAGCCATGTGGACGAATGGCTCAACATGGTAAAGAATGATATCTGCATGCAGGCCCTGCTCCAGGCATTCAGGAGACAACGAGAGGCAAAATTTAACTTGCATCTGCAAGAACCTGAATACGGTTCTCCCTGGGACCAGCAGTGTGGACAGGGGGTCAAAATCAGCAAGGTGGTGGGCAGAGAGTCACAACACAATACCTACCCCTTTTGAACATGCATTGATGTCTGAAGGGGCAAGCTTACATCATGATGCTCCATCTGCCATCTTGTTGATTTTGACCCCCTGGTGCAGTTGCTGCTGCCTGGGACCCTACTTTATTAAGGTCCTGATCCGATAGAAATCTGGGCTTGAGTTCAAGCAGAAACCAAGGCAGTTGTCCTTCAGACCTCCAGCCAAGTGTGCAGAAGACAGGAGGGGAGAGGACAGGACCATTACTTGTGCCCTACTTTCCACTCATTTTAAAGCATTTGTCTGAACATTCAGAGAAAATCTTTCTGTTTCCTTAATCCATAGTCATATGTCTGTGTTCCAGGCAATTCTCATAATTGGGACAAGAAAGGAAATTTTTCACATTAGCAAATGCTGAGGACAGTTTTTCTCCTCTTGCTTGATTACATGGGTCAGCTCAGTGTTTCTCAACCTTAGCAGCTTTAAGGTGTGTGTTGAAGTCCACCCATCTTAGTTGCCAAGGTTGAGAAACACTGGTTCAGATTATTCTCACCAACCAGTTGATGCAAGCACCATGATAATGTGCAATTTTGGTCCTCCCCTGATTCTGGCTGGCTTTCAGATGCTCTTAAATAAGGTACCGAGAGTGTGAGAAAACTAGAGAGGCATAACAGTCGAGAGACTTAAGTGTAAATCTGGCAGCCCCGGGCAGAAATTATTTCTGCCAGAAATTAAGTGACTTTAATCATCACTTCAGTCCCTCTTCCCATCTAAAATGTGGGGATAATAATGCTGGGATTTTGTAAGTATTCTGAAATAATGTTTGGAAAGTTCAAAGGGCTGCCCGGTACAGTTTTTTTTTTTTAAGGTGTCTTTGTAGACAGACTGGGCAAGAGTGAAAAATAAAAGTAGGAGATTTTTTTTTCCTTACAATCCCATTAATCCCAATGAATGATTACTGGTTCAGAATGCATGTTTTACTTTTGCACAATTTTCAGTCTTTGGGTTTGTTCATACAAGTTCCCGTAGATAATATCTTCCTTCAAATTGCATTTATACCCTGCTTTTTTTGCCAGGATAGCAATATTGTTTAGTTATTTAACATTTCTAAGGCAGCTAAATTCATTAGCGACTCTGGAAGGCTACAATAAAAAAAAAAGGTGGGAAGAAGAAAAATAATTGAGCTCATCCTTGTAGTCTGGTGCTGCAGGAGGCAGTTCTTGGATGAGAGGAGCCGGACAACAGCTGGCCCCAGTCAGACGGATGGAAAGGGCTCTCCTCTTGAGGTCGAGGAATTGTGTCCTGGAATATGGAGGTAGAATGTAGAAATGTAGGAATGTAGAAGTCTAGTCCAACCCTCTGCAATATGTATGTAGGAGAATCAGTTACATCATGAGAGGTAACTGCCTGCTCTCTTCTTAAGGACCTGAAGAGGTCGAGAACTAAAAGGAGGAGGCTCCAAGTGGCTGTTGGTCTAAGCCAGTGTTTCTCAACCTTGGCAGCTTTTAGATGTGTGGACTTCAATTCCCAGAATTCCCCAGCCAGCTTTTGCTGGCTGGGGAATTCTGGGAGTT